GAGGCGCAGCGTCGAGGTAAACAAGATCCCGAGACTCCACTACTTAATGGACGCCAGCTCGGTGGCCAGCAGGGCGGCTCGAGCCCACGCCAGGCCCACTTCTGGGACACCGACCTGGACAAGCTGCCGGTCAGCATGCAGAATACGACGGAAATGGTAGCATAATGTCAATATTTTTTTAACCCGGCCCGGAGCTCGTCCGTCGTCCCATCGAGACCGTACTGTTTGAAGGGTCCGAAGGGGGATCGAAGCCCTGGGAGCGAGCCATACACCAGCTGAAACGCCGACACCTCAAGTAATGTTTCGAAGAATCCCGACTTCCGTCGCAGCATCCCAGCAGACAGCCTCCATCGAGGTTGGCCAGCCCAGTGGTGGTCACCCATCCCCCCAACCACGACCGGACCACAGCGTACCGCCACCTGGGAGGGCAACGCATCGGCTCCACACGCACGAACTCGAAGCCGAACCCATCCAGGGCTCCACGGGGAAGGAAGATGAGGAGGAGCAGGAGGGAGGAGGAGGAGCAGGAGGAGCAGGAGGGAGGAGGAGGGAGGAGGAGGAGGGAGGAGGAGGTTGAGGAGCAGGAGGAGGTGGAGGTGGAGGTGGAGGTGGAGGAGGAGGAGGAGGAGGAGGAGGAGGAGGACGAGCACCAGCAACAGCAGCAGCAGCACCACCACCACCACCATGAAGCGTGCCTTCTCGCGCTCGCCGAGCAGCTCCAGGGCTGCGTAGCAGCGCTGGAAGACCTCAAGAGGCTCCGCCACATCCAGCTGCCGCAACTTCTCGAGGAAGTCCTCCGAGCCGCCGCAGCGACGACGACGTCTTCGACAAGGTCGCGGCGGCCTCGTGACTGATCACTCCTCCTCCTCCTCCTCCTCCTCCTCCTCCACCTCCTCCTCCTGCTACTCCACGTCCTTCTCCTCCTCTTTCTCCAACTCTTTCTCCTCCCCATCACCACGTCATCATCATCATCATCAGCATCATCATCATCATCATCAGCATCATCATCATCATCATCATCATCATCATCATCATCATTATCATCATCATCAGCATCACCATGAGCAGCATCATCAGCAGCATAATCCTCGTTATCAACATCATCCGCATCGCCGTAATCATCACCAGCGCCATCATCATACTCATCAACATCAAGATCGTCGTCATGATAAGCATCGTCATCAGCATCATTATCAACACCAACATCAACATCAGCATCATCATCATTTATGATCACCAGCCTCACTATAATCAGCAACGACATCATCATATGCAGGGCATCATCCATATATTCATCATATTTAGCATCATCGCCATAAGCCCCATAATCACCACCATCACCATCAGCATCATCAACATCATACGCATCATCATCGTCATCGGCAGCACTATCAACATTAGCATGAGCAAAATCATCTGCATCAGCATCAGCATCATCATCGGTATCGTCATCAGCCATCTGATCAGCATCATCATCATCAGCGGCATCAGCAGCATCACCATCACAATCCCACGCATCAGTCTCCGCCGCCTCCTCATCCCAACTCCTCCTTCTCCTCCTCCTCCTCCTCCTCCTCCCCCTCCTCCTATTCCTCCTCCTCATCACTGCTCTCTGTCCTTCTCCTCTTCCTCTGTCCTCTTCCTCTGCCCTCTGCCCTCACCGTCGTCTGTCATCTTAATGTGTCCTCCTTTGCCTCACTCCTCCTCCTCCTCCTCCTCCTCCTCCTCCTCCTCCTCCCCCTCCTCCTCTTTCTCCTCCTCCACCACCACCTCCCGTTCCCCCACCCACTGAGTTCCCCTAACACTCCGTCACCCCTCCCTCTCACTCATCCTTCCCGTCCTCCTCCTTCTCCTCCTCATCCTGCCTCCTCCTCCTCCTCATCATCATCATCATCATCAGCAGCAGCATCATCATCATCATCATCAGCATCATCAGCATCATCAGCATCCACCTCCTCCTCCTCCTTCTCCTCCTCCTCTGTCCTCGTCCTCCTCCTCCTCCTTCTGCTCCTCCTCCCTCCTCCTCATCCTCCTCGTCATCATCCTTGTCCTCCTCCTCCTCGTCCTCCTCCTCATTCTCCGTCTCCTCACCCCTCCTCACTCGTCCTCCTTCTGCTCCTCCTCTTCGTCACTCCTCCGTCTCCTCCTCCTCCTCCTTCTCCTCGCCCTCCTCATCCGCCTCGCTCCTCCGCCTCACGTGTCCTCCGCCTCCTCCTCCTCCTCCTCCTCTTCCTCCCCTTCTCACTCCTCCTCATCCTCTGTCTCCTCCTTCGCCTCGTCCGCCTCGTTCCTTCTCATCCTCTTCCTCCTCCTCCTACTCAACCACATCCCCATCCTCACTCCTCCTCCTCCTCCTCCTCCTCATCCTCCTCCTCCTCCTCCTCCTCTTCTGTCTCTCTTCCTCCTCCTCTCCCTTCCTGTTCCTCCTCCTCCCCTTCCTCCTCCTCCGCATCCTCCTCCTCCTCCTCCTGCTCCTTCTCATCTTCCTCCTCCTCCTCCTCCTCCTGCTCCTCCTCCTGCTCCTCGTCCTTCCCATCCTGGCCCCACCTCCAACATAACGATACTATCAGGATGCCCGTCCCTAACTACACTTCGAGAGGGAGCAGTGGGATGCTACTGCAGGGTACCAGGATACATATACTACAATGCATGGGACAACTATCAGCCAGCTCGCTCTGGAAAAGAAGTGAGCCGAGAGGGAGAGAGAGAGAGAGAGAAAGAGAGAGAACCGAGAGATGATAGGAGAGCATAAAAGCAATAGGATAACTAGGCCACCCAACAGAAATTGTGAAAGCGTGGGCCTCCCGATTCTTCTCCTCTTCTCCTTTTGAATGGTCGTGTCGTCGTCCCCCCCCTCCTAGCTTGGGAGCCCTGCTCGTCCAGCGCGTCCCCAAGTCCGCGGGCACGCGGAAGGGCCAGCAACTACTCCCCACGCACTGACCCGCAGAGACTCGTATTCACAAAGTAGCGAGCCCCTCTTACGGGGCCACCTCGAAGCTCACCCTTTGAAGCTTCGGGGTATGCCCCCTGCAGGCCCTAGTGAGAAGTCAGGGCCGTTGCACAACCAAATCGCAGGGGATTTTGCCAGACGCGCGCAAGGCACCAGTCTAGGTGTGTTGGCGTTGACCCACTTATGCGGATGTCCTGTCCTGTCCTCCCCCTCCTCCTCTCCCTTCTCCTCTCCTCCTCCTCCTTCTCCTCCTCCTCCTCCTCCTCCTCTTCCTCCTCCTCCTCCCTCCTCCTGCTCCTCCTCCTCTTCCTGCTCCTCTGTCTTCTCCGCATCCTCCTCCTGGCTGGCCTCCTCATCCTTCCTCCTCCTCCTGCTCACTCCTTCCCCTCCTCCTCCTCCTCCTCCTCCTCCTCCTTCTCCTCCTCTTCCTTTTCCTCCTCCTTCACCTCCTTGGAGGTCCCTGAGGTCAAAATCGCCGAACCAAACACATCGTTTCAAACTCAACGATGTTGGTCGACCAATGCGAAAAGCAATACGTTTTTAACCAAGTCGGACCTAACCAAACAAACTTAAACTACATCGGACCGAATCAAGACGACATGAAACAAACCCTGTCCAATCGAACCGAATCTGCCCGAAATCATCGCAATCATCGAAAACGTTATCGAAATGCCACTTCCGATGCCGAATCATGTGATGACTGCCGGATCTGCACCAACCGTGATCGATTCGAGTCGATTTGATGCGACACGGGCCCCTCGAGCCTAAATCATGCGAATCTGGACCATTCGCGACTCGAAGCATGCTCCAGGTACCATTTGGTCGCGTCGGACTCGACATTGTATCAATACAATGCGCTTGGGCTGTTCGCATCGGGAGGACTACAAGTGTTGCTCGAACATTGAATATGTGGAAACATCACCGAATCGTGCCGACCAAACGCCGACCAAAGAAAACCGATTCTGCTACGGAAAAATGGGGACATGTGAAAGCTGAACGGTTCACCACTCGGTCTCTGGGCTTGGTCTCCGCCGCCTCCTCCGGTCGCCGCCCTCTGGACCTTGGACTCTGGACCCTTCTGGGCTCCTGTGCCCACGACTCTTCTGCTCCTACGACCTGTGATAAACCAGAAATCTTGTCTGGCACCCCGTCCACCTTCCCCCTCCTCCTCCTCCTCCTCCTCCTCCTCCTCCTCCTCCATTTCCTCCTTCCCCTCATCCGCTGGCGTCCTCCTCATCCACCTCCTCCAGTGACGGCAGGCTGAGGAGGAGAGAGGAGGGAAAGAGAGAGCGAGAGAGAGATCGTCCACATCTGGTTCGGATGAGGTCGAATCTCTGCTTTGAATTTATCAGTCGACCGACTCCGTCGGATTGTGGCCGAGTCTCTGGCTTGAAGTTCTCAAACGGTCGATTCCGTCAGATACGGCCGAATCTCTGGATTGAAATTCTAGAACAGCTGGTTCTGCCGAGCTTGGCCGGATCTCTGATCTGACGGTTTCGAATGTTTAAAGCAGCTGATTTCTTTGTTTCGCCCTGTCCTGCGTTTAGCTGACTGGTAGCAAGATTCAGTAAGAGCAGGAGGAGCCAAGTCTTGATGACACCCAACGGCGCCACACGCGAACCGGTGCATGCACCGCAGTGTGGATCGGCGGCGAGCCTTGGGGGGAAGGAGAATGGCGGGCGTTATAAGAAGGCTCGGAGGTCCTCCAGCCTTTCGGAGAAATTTTCTAAGCCTTCCCCGAAACACCAAAAAACGTTCAAAAGCTGGAGACCTTCTGAGAAGGCCCGCGGCCCACTGAGAAGGCCTTCTCGTTCTCGTCTCTCGGAGGAAATCAAAGTTTACCGATACCGCTACTCCCCGGACCTCTCCCAGGGTACTCTCTGACCAGAACTCCGAGGCGAATCTGGCGCTGGCGACGAGGTCCTCCGAGGGCGCTCAAGAGGGTAAAAACGATGCCAGGGTAGCGGTATGGGTACCTTCTTCGCCTTCTCATTCCCCCGCCCCCCCCAGGCTCGCCGCCGAGTGGAGCAGCCCTGCAGCGTCGGACACTTCACGGGCAGCGGGAGCCCGCGCCCGTCGGCCGAGCCCCGCCGAGAGCACGGGCTCCCGTCGGCGGGGGCCCGCTGGAAACGCCCGCCCCGCAGCACGCGGAGGGGGCGGGAGGAAACCTGGGGGAGCTCAAGGGGCCCTGGAACACACAAAGAAATACACACAAACAACAGGATCCCCCCCACTTCCCATATTTTCGCAGTTTCGCATATTTTCCTTGGAATCGGCAATCCATTGCGTCTTTGCGTTATTTTCCCTCCTGAGTGCAGCACGGAGGACGAAAACATCGGGTGTTGCTAGCAGTGCCGGTGGCCCAAGGTGCTCCCAGCGTTCCCAAGGAGGCCCCCGCGGCCTCCACAGCAGCCCTCACGAGCTGGGGGCCCGAGGGGCTCCAAAATGGAGCGAAGAGCTGGGGGCACCTTGGGCCAGGGGCACCTTTAGCAAACCCCTGAGAACACTGCATGCACATGACGTGTTGCCGGTCCGCGAAGATGCCTTGGACTTGCGCTGGACACCCCACGGCGGCGCCTCCAGCGCCGCCCCTGGCGCGCTCCGCGTGCCAAGGGGATCCGGCGCAGCTCCAAGAAGACAGCGCAAACCGTCAACAATTTATGTCGATACCGTCTTCTCGCTTTTCCGGGAGCACCCAGGTTGGGAGGCGACTCCTGGGGAGGTTCCGTGGGCACTGCGTTAAGTGCCGTGAAGTCCGATTCACGGGCCACTGCGCCATATTTGGCCGATTGCATCCTGACCTTGCTCCAACTTCACGCACCGCGCCCCGCGGCGCGCGTCGCGCACGTACCAGCGCGCCCTCGCGCCCTCGCGCCGCCCCCTTGGAGAAACGAGGGCGAGCACCAGGGTCGCCTTACTTCGCGCATCGCAGCCCTGCGAGGCGCGTCGCGCGATCATTGGCCCTCGAACCCTCGCGCCCTCGCGGCCCCCCCCCCCTCCTTGGGAGAAGGGCGGCCACTCCGGCCCAGGCCGCGATCAGCGGGGCACGATGATCCTCGCACCCCTGGCGATGACCCATCGCAGCGTAAGAGAGAGGAGGGGGAGGGGGAGGGGGAGGAGGAGGCGGAGGAGGAGGCGGAAGAGGAGGAGGAGGAGGAAGAGAAGGAGGAGGAGGAGGTGTAGTCCTTAGCAAGTTTGGCTCAAGCCATTATGGCTCAAGGGCCCGATTGCTTTCGGCCTTGGGCCAGGCGAGGCACACTGCCCTCAGGTGGGCCAAGGACGGCCCGCGATCAGCCGAGCACATTCTTTCATCGACTGGTCGCACTGGTCGATCTTCAGGCTGACCTCGCGCCACACTCATTGTTACGACCTCGCGCCGGCCTTGTCAGATGCAGTGCACCGTATATCGTCAGTACAGTTCAGACCACGTAGGGGGCGGCGAAAGTTGGCAACATACACATCCACATGTTCAACATGATCAATCACGTTGTACCCCCAACAGATCAAAAAGGCGGCGGATCCGTGACAGACGCCCAAACAGTTGAAGATAGCATATCGCCACACATTCCCTACATGTATTCATGGAACTTGCGAAGTTCCATACCGCTGCTCCGCATTCGCAGCAGGCGCGATCTCACCAGTGATATTCAGATTCTCCCATGAAAATCTATGCAATCGAAAGTGTCCCTTCCACGAGGCGTGTTCTGCCAGATATCATCCCCACCGCTGGCATCATGTCACTGCCGCCGACATCTTCTCCACGTCTCGAAAAAATGAAAGCGAGAATAGTATAGGTGCCACTGGTGGCACAGCTCAGAGTTTACATTGTTGGATCCCTACGCCGTCAGACACAAGTATCGGCAAATATGTGCAATGCCTCGATCGATGTTGACTGGTGGACTGGTGTTGGTGCTTTTGAAACGCTGGTTCCAAAGCCAACTAAGCTTCTTCAGACAAATCAGATGTGGCAAACGAAATCGCGCCAAGTACACCACATGAGTTGGAGGAATCAGGCTGCTCTGAATCGGCAATTGGTATCAGCGGCAATTGTTTTCGTCGGCAGTTGTCCTCAGAAATAGGTACTGGTAAAAGGGCTTCACGTCAGCGGTAAAAGCTATGATCACATTGCAGATGTTTGCTCACCACTGTCAAACGCTTCTCACAATGATCCGGATGATGGCATCTTGCAAGCATATGCAAACATCGCGGGATTGCAGTTTAAACACGCAGCTGTGTTCTCAGGATTGGAAAGGGATGGAACGCTTGCTGCAGAGTGCTCTAGTGACCACCTCACGTACGACAACAGTGGCGGCCTCGACATTGAAGGCACATGGATTAGCAACGCTACGCTCAAGCATGCGATGCAGGAGTGGTATGCGTACCAAGATTTATGCGAGGGCGAAGTTGTTTCACACAGCCACGATCGGAAGGACATCGACGCGTTGCGTTACCATGCAACTGCGACACTTGAAGACATACTGTCTGATCAGAATGCCACCGAGTCCGAGCTCCGATCTGTATATTCAGATACTCTGACCTCGCTTTGCAAACTTAGCGATGCTATGACGGTATGGATTCATGCTACCATCCGCGAGCGCGCATATACATCAGACATGTAGCGCATGACCATCTTCACAGAGGCAGTACGAGCGGCCTCCCCAACCTCCCCCTCCCTCCTGGTCCTCCACCCCTCGGTTTCCTTCTCTTCACCCCTCTTGTGAGACGGACACGGGCGTCTGTGTGTAACGTGTGCGGGTGTGGGATGCGGGTAAGGCGGGGGGCTTTTTAGATAGGCCAGCACCGTCGGAAGACATCGGCCCAACTTGTTTCGGCGAGGCAAAGCGGCTGGTGGAGGAGCGGAGGTGTATATCCGGAGGACAGCTGGGCAGCTTGCGCAGAATTTGTTCGGCATTGCATTCGGAACGCGACATCGGGTCGCAGCTATCTTAACCCTCGGTGAGGGCGATCGCAGAAAATAGGCTAGGATATTAGGATTTGAGATGGAGGAGTAGGGGAGAAAAAGCAGAGGTGGAAGGGTAGGAGATTGCGTTTATTGCGGGCCCTATGTGGCTTCCTTTGCAACCTGTTGTGGACCGAGCGCGTTGATGTTGTGGTCGGCTTTCCGAGACGAACAGCGGCTGAATGTAGCCTCGCTCCCTCGTCTGCTCTGCCTCCATGTTCTTTTGGCGAGGTGTTGGTGGGCCCTCGAGGCACGTGGCCACCGACACAGACCATGGAGTCGGCATATCTCAGTTGTTTTGCGTGCATGGGAGGCTGCCTCTTTCTGCCATCAGTCTTGGTACCCGAGACGTGTGGGAGGGGTTAGTCTGGATGAGGAAAGGATAGGGGGTAGATCCGGAGGACAGCTCAACAACTCGCGCATAACTTTATCTTCTTTCGGCATTGCTCTCGGAATGCAACAACGGGTCGCAACCATTTTAACTATTTTAACTATCGGTGAGGGCAATCGCGGAATAAGTCAGGATGCCTGGATTTTAGGATGGTGGAGGTGGGGTCGTGGAGGACAGTTAACGTACCGTGCGTGTCGACCGTTGCGAGCGTGTTGACCGCCAAGACATTCGGCTTCGGCACCGTTTCAATCATCGATACACTGGCCCGAATCGAGCTCAAGGCATAAGAACTTGGGCCACGTGCACTCCAGGCCTTCGATACTAAAGGCCGCACGTGCTCCTTGGGAGGGTCGGGTGGATTACTTGGTGGAGGATGGTCATGCGCGAGCCGACCGCCGCGAACGTGTTGACCGCCAGGGCCAATTTTCAAGCATGCCGTCAGTGGTCAGTTCGGGTCCGTGCTGCACCCGAGCAGAAGCATCGAAAAGCACAACGGTCCCGAGGCCGAGGAGGTTTGGGGTGAACCGCACAAGCCCTGGGTAGCAGCCCAAGAGCTGCCGCACTCAGCTATTATTCCAATTATGTTCGCAGGGAGCTCGCACTTAGAACACTTGCAGAATATCGCTGCAGATGAGCATCGTAGCATAGCCCCTGAAGCATATCCTCGGTGAGTGTCTTTGTCTAATGGGCGGGGGGATCGTGGTTTTGATGCGGGGAGGGTGGATTCCTTGACACTGTGCTTACTCTTGATCGCTGCTCTACTTACCCAACGTTTCTCGCATGTCCCGTGTTCTTGTCAGCAATGCTGCCGCACTTCGCGCTTTCTTCCTCTTGCATTCGTCCTCTTGAGATTCTGTGTTGCGCCCGCCCCGATGGAAGTTCGAGTAGCTGCGGGACGCACCAGCCTCGAGCTAGTGTTTGGCCTACGTCAACAAAAAGAGGAGAACGAGGAGCAGGAAGAGTAGGAGAAGGAGGAGGACCACGAGGAGGGGAAGGAGGAGGAAGACCACTGTAAACCCAAGACTCATCAACGCTATTGCAAAACACCCTCCCTCCAGGCTCCCTCTTCATAGGCTCCTGCGCGGATTCATTTTCACTGAGGGACATGCCCCGTTGGAGGACAACCGTTTGAAAATCCGGAAGTGTGCCAGAACGGCACTCCTGAGACCTCGGCGCCGCGAATCACCGTTACCGCTGCGTCTTGACGATCCTGTATCGTGCCAGAACGCCGCTCCTCGGACTTCCACACCGCAAATCAACGTGACAATTGCGCCCTGACGCTCCGACATCGTGCCGAAACACCATCACTGGGACGTTCACCATGAGAAGCATTGAAACTCTTGTATCGAACGGAGGAGGAGGAGGAGCAGGATGAAGAGAGAGGGACGGATGGGGGAGAAGACAAGGAAGCGGACAGGAGGAGGAGGGAGGGAGGAGAGGAGCAGACGGGGCAGGAGGATCAGGAGTTGAAATGAGGATGGCAAACCCCTCCTCCTCCTCTTCTGGCGAGAGCCACATTTTGAGAAGGAGCCGCCCTCCACCCGTGAAGCTCTTGAACACATCAAAACGACTGCGCGCGGCGCCGCGGCGCGAACCTCATGTTGAAAACGACTGGCCCTCAATAGGGGCAAACAAACCTACCTCGCTTTTGACCTCCCTCGCTTCCAAGAGATACCAAGCGATGCCAAACTACGGCCTGTACTGGTCAGGCCGCTTGACGAGGAGGCGCGTGGTATGACTTGGTTTCCCTGGAAGCGAAAGCGGGGTAGGTAATTCACGCTCCGACTCAATCCGTGAAGCTCGCTGCAAACCTTTGAAACGAATGCGCGCGGCGAGAAGGCGAGAACCACATGTTGACAAGGACCGCCCTCCATCCGTGAAGCCCTTGTGCAATCTCATAACGAGTGTGCGCGGCGCCATGGCGAGAGCCACATTTTGCAAAAAAGGAGCCGTCCCCCACCCGTGAAGCTCTTGACAACGATTTAAAACGAATGCGCGCAGCGCTACGGCGCGAACCACATGTTGAAAACGACCAGCCCTCCATCAGTGAAGCCCGCTGCAAACCTTTACAACGGATGTGCGCGGCGAGGGGGCGGGAACCACATTTTGAAAAAAGGAGCCGCCCTCCCACCGTGAAGCGCTGTTGTAGACTCGTTAGACACATGTGCGCGGCGCTAGGGCGAGAACCACATTTTGAAAACAAACCGCCCTCCATCCTGCAAACTCTTGAAAACGTTTAACACGAATGCGCGCGGCGCAAAGGCGAGACCAACAGCTTGCAAACGGACCGCCCCCTACCCGTGAAACTCTTTCAATGTTGTAAGACGAGTGTCGGCGGCGCTAAAGAGATAATCACATGTTAAAAGCGGGCCGCCCTCAATCCGTGAAGCTGTTCCAAATGTCAAGCTTCAGGCTAAGACGTCGTTAGGAAATTTCAGACGAAACGCCTGGCCCGCCCTTTGCGCTGGCTCCGGGATGCGACAGGAAGGGATGATCTATGAGGGGTAGGAATGGAGGAGGAGGAGGAGGAGGAGGAGGAGGAGGAGGAGGAGGAGGAGGAGGAGGAACAGCTCGCAGCCGGCCGCGCGGCGACTGCTGTGGACACCCGCCGCCGCGCGCCCCTGGCACGCCTGAGGCCGTACGGGAATGCCCGCTGCCTGCAGGGCAGATACGATCAGCCGTTCGGTCTCGGGGAGCCCTCGCCGGGCCCCGGGGCCGTCAACATCAAGGCTCGGGATGAACGGCTGGCCCTGGTCACCCCGAGCGGTCTTTTGCGGTTGCTGCGCACATCAAGACATCGGCTGACTGGGGGCGGCGGGAGCCAAGCCTCCGACGTAGCGTCTCGGCGGGGCCCCAAGGAAGCCCGCGGCCGCAGGGGTCATGTGAGGTGGAGATGCCGATGCTGCTGCCCCCTCTCCGAGGCGGGGATTTATCCACATCCACCGCCCCGGGAAAAGACGTCCTGGGACCTCAGGGGGGGCGGTGGACATGGATATTTGGGGAATGGGCGCCCGAATCTATCCACATCCACCGCCTGCCGAGGTCCCCGAAGATCGAAACCCGAGGCGGTGGTTATAGATCAACTGTCGCCTCGGATCTGTGGTTTTCCAGGGGCGACGCGCCCCACCACCGTCGAGGCCCGCCCTCCCACGCCCCCCCCGCCCCCTCTTGACATATCCCCAACAGGGAGCTTCGGGGCTTCAAGGCTTTCGAAGATGCCTCCGAGAGGTCTGACAGGACGGTCCGAGGACCACCCCAGGAGCCTCAAGAGAGCCCAGGGCGAGCCCCAACGGTCGCTAAGAATTTCCAGAGAGGTCGCTGACGTGCTCCCAACGAAAGGTTGCCAAGAGTCACCCCCGAGAGGCGGCCCCAAGAGATCTCAAGGAGCCCCATCCAGGAGAACCGTAGGAAGCCACAGGCATTGAGAACATCAACTGCTGCGCGTTGCGCACAGCTCTGCCGGCCATCCGTCTTCAGCCCAGAAGGCCAGATACCCTGGAAGATCCCCAGGACGCACCCCAAGGGGCCCTCGAGGTGCCCCAGGCGGCCACGAACCACCCAGACTGCACAATATGGCCAGAAGAGAGCCCCTGACCCCCCCCCCCCTCTAACGCAGGCAGCTGGATCCGTGGTATAGGCACATGTCCTTTGTATTCACCGCATTGCAAATTGCCAGGCTTCTCGAGCGCCTGGCGGCCTCGAGAGCATGGTTGGAGGCCCTTACTGCCGACATCTCCTGAGATGGCTTCTCGGGGCCGCCCCGGAGCGCCCTGGACGCCCTGGGCCTGGCCCAAGAAGCCAACATCATTGAAAGCCCCCGGCTGCTCCGTGATTTTGGCGTGCTCAAGAAGGGACCACGGACTCACAGGAGAGCCCCAAGAGGCCCAAGTGCACCCCAAGAGGGACCCTGGAGGACCACAGGAGGGACCCAACGAAGAACTCGAACTGCCATGCGGACCCCCTTCGCCCGAAGCCGAGACAGCCGGCAAACCCCAAAGACCCCCCCCAGAGGCCCCCAGGAGGCAAGGTGGCGAGATGGGCAGAAGGCCACTGTGCTTGTCACGGGGGTGTCACAGGTGCTTATCACAGGGGTGCTTGTCACAGGGGTGCTTCGCGCGCTACTTGGTTGGGAACCTTCGCCTATCGATGTGTAGTTTCACTGTTGGGGAACTTGGCCTAACCTGTCGGTCGCTGCGCTCGGGACTTTGACGCTGGCAGGCCAGGAAGTGGATGGCGTGTCGTGTAGAAGGGGTGGTGGGCCATAACCAGCCGAGCGACACGCTATCCATGAGTTACCGAGGGTAGATTTGCCAACCTCTGCGCTTGTCAAAAAGGTGCCTAGCATGCTAGTTCGCTCTATCGCTTAAACCCTTCAACAAGGTTCCCAGTGGCCTTCCCCTTGACCAGCCAGCCGTGCGGAAAGACCAGTGCGACCAACCAAGGAGCTCCATCTGCCACCAAGACGCCCAAGATGGCCTCCGAGATGGCCTTCGAGAGGGCCCACGATGGTCTAAGATAGCCTCCAAGACTGCTCATGACGCCTCCAAGACGGCCAGGACGGCCCCTCAGTAGACCCAAGATGACTACAAGATGAGCTTCCAGACGGCCCAAGAGGCCCCCAAGAGGAACTCCAGGAGGCCCAAATCACTGATGCGCCTCAGGTTTTTCAATGGTGTTCGCGTTCTAGCCTTTTCGAGCTTCCGACAAACCAAGACGGCCCCAGAGGCCTCCAAGACTGGACCAAGACGGCCCCATATACCCAAGAGGGTCACAAAACTGGCCAAGAAGGCCCCAACACGGCCCAAGAGATCCCGAAGGTGGCCCCAAGACGGCCCTGAGACAAACCAAGAGACCTCCAAGACAACCCGGGAACGTCCCAAGCGGGACCCAAGACGGCAGAGTAAGGCCCCCGAAGATGGCGCTCGAAGACCAGGCGGTCCCTCATATGCCCCCACAGGCCCCCAAGACGCCCAAGAATACCTCAAGAGGCCCCCAAAGAGGTCTCCCCGAAACCCTCAAAGTGCCTCAAGAGGTCTCATCGTCCTCCTCCTCCTCCTCCTTCTTATTATCCTCTTCTTCCTCGTCCTAGTCCTCCTCCTCCTCCCCCCTCCCCGGCTCTCTTTGTATCCCAAGTGTTCCCCGAAGTGTTTCCACAACGGCTCGGGGAAGACAGTGTCCAATAGCTTAGTATGACGTCGGCCCAACTTTTGGCCGCCTGGGCGTTTCCGAAGGCAGGGGGCGGCGGTGGTTCGCCGCAGGCGTCTTCGATGACATGACCCTGAGGCACGAATGCCAAACAAAAACTTACGCCTCGCGCCCCGGGGCTGCGCCACCGGCGCATCGCCGCCCCCGATCAGGAGACCGGCGGCTCCCACAACGCCTCCTGCGTGTCGGGGTTCCAGTAGTACGGTCTCTGATCCGCCACCGTGCAGCTGGACACGGAGTGGGCGTTTCCTCGGGTCCTTCGCCTAATCTATTCAGCCTGGACCCCAATTTCCGAAAGAGATCCCCAAGAGGCCCCGCAGAAGACCCAAGAGGCCCCAAAACGGCCCCCGAGGGGCCTCAGAACGGCCCCCGAGAGGCCCCCGAGAGGTCTCCTGCGACATCCCCCGACTAATATCCCAGAGGCCTATGACCCACAACGCAGGCACGGTGTCGAGATGGGCCGAAGGCCTTAGATCCGCCGCCCCCTGTCGATTCATCGCAGGGGTGCCTGGCGTGCTAGACCCTTTCGGTTTTGGTTTTGGTTCATTTTCCCAAAGAACTCCCCCTGAGGCTTCGACCCGTCCCGCCGGGGTCCCATTCCCCCAAAAATCGTCCAAGGCGGCTCAAGATGGTCTCCAAGATGCTCCAACATGGCCTGCAAGTCCGACAAAGATGGTCCAAGATGGCGTCCGAGACGGCGCAAGAGAGTCCATGACGGCCCAAGACAGCTCAAGAGGCCTTCCAGAGGCCTCCAAGATTGCCCGAGAGGCCTCCAAGAGGTCGTCCAGGAGGGCCCGAAGATGCCGAAATCATTGACTATCCGTCGATGTTTGAAGGGTTTTGGAGTTTGCGTCTTCTCGGCATTCCGACGGCCCAAGACGGCCCAAGAGGTCCCCAAGATCGCCCCCTGATCGTCTTAGAGGCCTCCAAGAGAGCCCCCTTGACGACCCAAGAGGCCCCCAAGACTGCCCCAGGACGGGCCAAGAGGCCTCCAAGACGCCCAAGGTGGCCTCTAAGACGGCCCCGAAGCTCCCCAAGAGGGCCCCAAGTCGGCCCAGAGAGGCCCCCAAGACGGCTCCCGACGGCGTCAGACGTGCCAGGAACCCACCAAGATGGCCGAACTTGGCTCGAAGCTGACCCAAGATAGCCCAAGAGGCCTCCAAGAGGCCTCCAGGAAGGCCAGGACAAGGGAAACAACAGTTACCTTCCTTAGGTTTTTGACGGATTTTGACATTTGCTTCTTTTCGGCCTTCCGACGGCCCGAGACGGCCCAAGAGCCTCCGAAGATTGCCCAAAGATCGCCCAAGAGGCCCCCAAGATGGCCCCATGATGACGGCCCAAGAGGCCCCCAAGACGGCCCCAAGAGGCCCCCAAGACGGCCCAGGAGGCCTTTAAGACATCCAAGATGGCCTCCAAGACGGCCCTGGAGCACTCCAAGAGGGCCCCAAGTCGGCCCAGAGAGACCCCCCAAACGGCTTCCGACGGCGTCAGACGGGCCAGGAGCCCACCAAGACGGTCGAAGATGGCCTCAAGATGGCGCAAGGCGGCCCACGATGCCTCCAAGAGGGCCTCCAGGAAGGCCCGAAAAGGCCCAAATCATTGATTTCCCAAGAGTTTTTGAAGGATTGTGGCATTTGCTTTTTGTTCGGCCTTCCGACGGCCCGAGACGGCCCAAGTGTCCCCAAAGATCGCCCAAGACGGCCCCAAGAGGCCCCCAAGACGGCCCAAGAGGCCTCCAAAACGCTCAAGATGGCCTCCAAGACGGCCCAAGAGCTCTCCAAGACGTCCTCCAAGAAGGCCCGAAAGGGTCAAAGTGGCCTCCAGTCGGCCCAGATGACCTTCAAGATGCCCACGTGTTCCCCGAAGGCTTTCCAAACCGATTCGGGGAACACATGGTCCGATAGCTTGGCAGGTCTGGCCTCAACGTTCGGCCACATAGGCGCTTCCAAAAAGGCAGGGGGCGGCGGTGATTCGCCGTAGGCGTCTTCGATACTCGGAGCTCCAGTGCTCCTCTCGACTCCACGCAAGTGTGACCCTAAGCAGGAGTGACCCTTGGTGCGCGACTCTAGGGGGGCGCGGGGGGGCCAAACCCGAGCGCGCAAGCCGCTGCCGCCGCGAGTTGCTGCAAAAAACGCCCGTCGCAAGTCAAGATAACAATTCGTCAACGCGCGCCCCCCCTCGCCCCATCTTTCAAGGTTGACGGGCAAGCAACGGCCCCCAGCAAAAGTGGGCTTCTATTTCGCAACGCTTCGCACTCCCTTCCGGCGCGGTCGTCGGCCAACATTGAGGTATCCCGCTTCGTGTTCAGCCATCTGGGGACCCCAGTGTGCCCGCACCGAAGGTCATTCTGGTGAAGGATCCAATCAGGGGAACAAGCAATGACATGAACATCAAAACTCGGAGGTCCGCGCGGACTCCTCGGATCGGCGCTGGGGCCCCCTGGCGGCGCCTCCGGCGCCGCCCCTGGAGCGCCCCGCGCGCCAGGGAGGGTGATCCAGCGCCAGTCCGGGAAGTCTGCGCGGACCTAGCGAGTTGTTATGCCTACATCATCGGTTGTCCCCCTGGACCCTCACACCGGGGCTCCCGGACGGCTGAACACCATGCGCGACACCGCCGTGTGCGGCACACGCGCCCGCCAGTCACGGCGCCGTGAAGGCCCGCCCACAGACCCCGCACCTCCACGCGGGCCGACGACCGCGCCGCAGGGCCGGGCAGTACTTATATCCATATCCGGAGCGTCGTGGATTTTTTGTGAAGAGGTGCCGCAACGCCGGGGCGCACTGGATATGGGTAAAATCCAGCCTCTTGGGGCCAGATTTTGATCCATATCCAGTGCGTCTACGGTTTCTGGGGAAGAGAGCCTCAGAATCCAAGACGCACTGGATGTGGATATAACTATCAGGGGGACGTAAGACCTGGGTACAGGGGACTCGGAAATGCCCGACGAGGTCGTCAAAAAAATGACGAGGCCGAGCCTGCATTTTGACGAGGCCTCCCGCTGCAGACATCCCACGAAACTCCTCCTCGTCAAAATCCGAGGCGCGGTCGTCAAAAAACGATGGCGAACCCGAACCCTGGCAAACCCGGGTCTTGCGCTCCCCCGAAACTATTGCCCGCCGCAGGGCCACCCTCGCGCGTCGCCGATCCTCCCACGGGCGCGGCAGCAGCGGGCCCGGCGGCTGCGGGGCGGGCCGCGGCGCCGCGCTCGCCTGCTGCTGCTGCGCCTGCGGTGCGGGGGCCGGGTGCGGCGCTGGCGCGGCAGCGCCTGCCGGGGAGCTGGCGCCTGCCTCCAGGAGGCCCGCCAGCTCGGCGACGGTGGTCACGTCGGCGGGCAGCTTCGACCTCACCTCGGGGGGAAGGGCACCCGGTGCCGCGGCTCTTCGCGCCCGTGTTCGCCTCCTGGGGGCCTCCTGGGGGAGCCCTCGTCGCCACCGCTGGATTCGCCTGGAACTGGAGGTCAGAACGCACCCTGGGAGAGGTCCGGGGAGTAGCAGTATCGGTACCTTTGGGTTCCCCCATCACCCACGTCCTGACCATGACGGTCAGGAGCTCGATGCCGAAGGCCTCCTCGAGGTCTAAGAAGACGTCCGCGACGACTTTGGCGCCGATGTTGCGGTCACCCTCCATGGGAAGCAACATGTCGAGCCGCATGGCTGGCTCTATCTGCTCCGCCGGGATGCCAAAGTTGTCGGCGATGACCTCTCGAACTCTTCTCAGGGTTGCCTCGCTCGCCGGACCCCGCTGTTTCGGCAGGTCGCCGATCTTGATGAGATTCGGCATCTTCCTGTCGATGATGTCCTCAACGACCGCACGCCCCTCGGGGCGCCCCCTGACCTGCCCGCCATACGTCTTGGCGTCCTCTGGCCGGATGCCGGGCGCCCCGTCGCTCCCGAGCGGCGTCAGGGGCGGGCTCCAGACGGACTCGCGCCTCGGGGAGAAGGCGGTCTTCTGGGCACGGAAGGCCTCGGAGATGTCGAACTGGGGCAGCTCCTCCCCCTCCAGCAGCCGCGACGCGGCCTCCTGGAGCGCCTGGAACCGGTCGGGGTCGCCCGTCTCCGGCACGTCGGGGTGGTAGACCTTGGCCAGCCTCCGGAACGCGGAGCGCACCTCTGCGGCGCGCACGTGATCGGGCCTGTCCCTCTACAGGCGGAGCCGCAGGTTGGGGGGTGAGATCGCAGTGGAACGGAGACCCCCAACCGGGAAATCGTTTCGTTTCGTTCGTGTCGTGCGTGCGGGCGAGGCGAGGCTGCGTGGGCGCGCGAGAAGAATGAACCCGCCGTTGCTAGGGCGAAGTCAAGACAAATGAGTATGCCCCTCCCGCCCGTCCGGCGGTGGCCCGCGGTGTCCCGTGGTGTTCCGTGGTGTCCCGTGGTGTCCGCCGCTGCTAGGGCGAAATTCAAGACAAATGATTCTCCCCCTCCCGCCCGTCTGGCGGTTGCCCGCGGTGTCCCGCGGTGTCCCGTGGTGTCCCGTGGTGTCCGCCGTTGCAAGGGCGAAATCAAGACAAATGATCCTCCCCCGCCCGCCCGTCCGTCCGTCCGTCCAGCGTTGGCTCGCGGTGTCCCGCGGTGTCCCGTGGTGTCCCGTGGTGTCCTGTGGTGTCCCGTGGTGTCCAGTTAAGTGAGAACGATCGTGAGATCGATAGTGAGATCGATACTGAGATCGATGTGGTGCCCCGAGGTGTCCCGTGGTGCCCCAAAAAGTGAGATCAATAGTGAGCCCGATACTGAGATCGACAAGTGTCCCGTGGTGTCCCGTGGTGTCCCGTTGAGTGAGATCGATAGTGAAATCTATAATGAGATCGATACTGAGATCGAGTATGAGGTCGATGTGGTGCTCCGAGGTGTCCCGTGGTGCCCCAGAAAGTGAGATCGATAGTGAGACCGATAATGAGATCGACAAGTGTCCCGTGGTGTCCCGTGGTGTCCCGTTGAATGAAATCGATAGTGAGATCGACACCTGAGATCGATGTAGTGCCCCGTGGTGTCCCGTGGTTTCCCTAGAAGTGAGATCGATAGTGAGATCGATTGTGAGATCGACAGGTGTCCCGTGGTGTCCCGTGGTGTCCTATGGTGCCCCGTTGAGTGAGACCGATAGCGAGATCGGTAGTGAGCTCGATAGTGATATCGATGATTGGATCGATAAAACTGAGATCGATGTGGTGCCCCGAAGTGTCCCGTGGTGTTGCACAAAATGAGATCGATAGTGAGATCGAGACGTGTCCCGCGGTGTCCCGTGGTGTCCCATGGTGGCCCGTGGTGTCCCGTTGAATGAGATCGATAGTGAGATCAATAATGAGATCGACAAGTGTCCCGTGGTGTCCCATGGTGTCCCGTTGAGTGAGATCGATAGCGTGATCGATTGAGTCAGATGTTGGCTCCCCCCCCCTCCCCCCCTCCCACAACCTCCTAATCACCCGAAGGGTGGTCGTATAGGAACTCATAAATTGTTTAAACGTAACCAGGGGACTCCTTTTGGTACCTATATGACCACCCTTCGGGTGATAAGGAGGTTCGGGGGGGGAGGAACCAACGTCTCACTCGATCGGTCTCACTATCGATGTCACTATCGATCTCACTATCGGTCTCGATCGATCGATCTCACTCGATCGATCTCACAATCGATTTCACTCGATCTATTTCAATCGATCGATCCCACTATCAATCTGGCTATGTATCTCACAATAGATCTCACGATCGATCTCACTATCGATAACACAATCGATATCACATCCGGCCTCACTATCGATATCACCATCGATACCACAATCGATCTCAGAATAAACGTCATCATCCTCAGCATCACCATCATCAACGTCATCAATGGCATCATCATCATCATCATCATCATCATCATCATCAGCATCATCATCATCGTCGTCGGGACACCATCATCATCACCTCGTCGCCATCGTCATCAAAATCGCCATCACCATCATCATCGGGACACCATCATCGTCACCATCATCATCACCCACATCATCATCATCGGGGCACCATCATGATCATCGGAACACCACCACCATCTTCATCATCATCCCATCAGCATGAGCATCATCATCAACATCATCATCAACGCCGGGACACCATCATCATCAGCAAACTAGCATCATCAACATCATCATGGGGACACCATTATCATCGTCACCGTCATCAGCACCACCATCATCCTCATCATCGGGACACCATCATCATGATCATCATCACCATCATCATCATCATCATCATCATCATCATCAGCATCATCATCATCACCATCATCGGGCCAGCAGCATCGAAATCATCATCACCGCCTCATCCTGATCCTTATCACCAGCATCATCAACATCTGAGCACAATCATCATCATCATCAACATCATCATCGGGACACCATCATCACCATGATCATCAACAGCATCATCAACCTCATCATATTCATCATCGGGGCACCATCACCATCATCCTCATCATTTCATCATCATCTCATCATCATCAGCATCAGCACCATCATCATCATCATCATCAGCATCATCGGGACACCATCATCAGCAACATCATCATCATCATCATCATCATCATCATCATCATCATCCTCATCCTTATCATCATCATCATCATCATCATCATCATCATCATCATCATCATCATCATCGGGACACCATGATCATCACCACCATCACCATCGTCATCCTCGTCATCAACATCGCAACATCATCCTCATCATCGGGACACCATCATCATCACCACCGTCACCATCACCATCACCATCATCATCATCATCATCATCATCATCATCATCATCATCATCATCATCATCATCATCATCATCATCATCATTAGCATCAACATCATCGACATCAGCATCATCATTATCATGGGGACCCCGACGGGACACCGGCGGAACACCGGCGGGACACCGCGGGCCGCCACCGGCCCCCGGAAAGGAATCATTTGGTCCGGGCGCGCCTCAGCCGGAGGCGGGCCACCGGCTCCCAGAAAGGAATCATTTGGTCCAGCCGCGCCTCAGCCGGAGGAGACTTTCTTCTCGCCCGCCCACGCAGCGTTGTGTCGCCCGCACGCACGGCACGCACGAACACAAAACCGAAACCGATTTCCCGGTAGGGGGGCTCTCTCCGTTCCACTTCGATCACACCCCCTCACCTCCGATGCTTTGACTATTTTTGAATCTGTTTTGACTATGAAAAATGTTTCTTCGAACATCGGCTTGTAGGGGGCTGCAGAGGGGGGCCAGGGGCGCACAAGCAAGTGCACACAGAAGGCCCGGCCTCCCCCACACCTCGAGGTTCGCCTTCTCTCCCGCCACTTCCCACAGCCCGGGGACAGACGAGCAGTATAGTGTCTGTGATTGATTCCCTCCTGATGAAAACAGACGCGAGGCTTCCGAGAAGGCCTGCCAGCAGGCAGGAGGCCCCTCCCCCCTTCACCGAAAGCCGCCGCCCTAGCCGCAGCCGCAGGTCCCAGCTCCGACCATGACCGATCCCCGAACACCTCCTGAAGTCCACCAGGCCAGGTCGGGCGGGGCCTTGCACCAGACGGTAGGGGAAGAGAACACAACATACACATGATCTGTCAGAGGTCCGCGCGAAATTCGCGGATCTGCGCTGGAACTCCCTCTCCCTGGCGCGCGGATCCTGCGCCTGGGGCCGCGCCAGGAGCGCCGCCAGGGGGGCCCCGCGCAAATCCAACAGATCCGCGCGGACCGCCGACAAGTTACTATTCCCTAATGTGGTTTCGCTAGGGAGGCGTCGATACTCGGACAGTAGGACCCCACATGAGAATCTTCCAAACGAATCTAGAAGTACTCCTTTTCATCGTCCTTTTGAGTACGGAGGCTCTCTTCCTGTCTGGTATCTGCTGGTCCTTGCCAACGCTTACAATCTTGATTGAGGAGTGCCGCCTCGGACTACAAAGGACGCCTGACAAAGGAACGAGGCTGCCTCGAGATTCTCTGGAGATTCCAACTCCCAGGTGTCACCAAAACTACGCTTTTTACGAGGAACCCCGATGGCCGCCCCGGATTAAGACCACGAAGCGGGGGGGCACGTAGGGAGGGGCTCCCGCTCGAGACATCCTCGCGATTCACTGACAGGCGAGCGCCCGAGACATCCCCTCAAGGTGCTCAGGAGGGGGGCGCCCACTCGAGACCTCCTCGGGATCAGGCTCCCAGTGTCCAGGTGGCCGCCTCGGATCACCAACGTGAGGTGGGGACCCCATAGGGAGGGGGCTCCCGCTGGAGACTTCCCCGCAAGTCACTCACAGACGAGGCTCCCGCCTGAGATATCCTTCGGTTTTCTCAGGAACGAAACTCCCGCTCGAAACTTCCTCGGGATTTGGGTTCCCAGGTATCGCCAAACTCGTTTTTTCGTGGTAGCCCAGTGGCCACCTCGGACTTCCAGCGTGAGGAGGGGGGGGCCGTAAGGAGGGGCTCCCGTTCGAGACGTCCTTGCGGTTCACCCTCACAGACGAGGCTCACGCCCGAGGCACCCCTTCTCTTTGCTCAGGAGCGAGGCTCCCGCTCAAGACGTCCTCGTAGAGTTCAGGCTCCCGGGCGTCTCCAAACGTAAGCTTTTGCATGGTACTCCGATGGCCGCCTCGGAATACCAACGTGATCTGCGCGCCCCACATGGAGGGGGCTCCCGCCCGAGGCGTCCTCGCAACTCACTCACCGACAAGGCTCCCGCTCGAGACGTCCTCAGGAATCAGACTCCCAGGTGTCACCAAGGCTGTGTTTTTTTTAATGAGATTCCGAAGGCAACCTCGGGTGACCAACATCATTTCCCGCCATATACGGAGGGGGCTCCTGCTCGAGACTTCCTGGCAACTCGCACACGGACGAGGTCACGACGGTGGATGGTTATCATGGCGTGGCGATAGTGATGGTGGTGATGGAAGGTGGATGGTCCTGATGGGATGGTGCTAGTGATGATGATGATGATGATGATGATGATGGTGGTGGTGGTGATGATGATGATGGTGGTGATGATGATGATGATGATGATGATGCTGATGATGATGATGACGATGAAGATGTGATAGTGAAGCTGGTGATGGTGGATGGTCACGATCGGATTGTGATAGTGGTGATGAGGGTGGATGGTCACAAACAATGGTGGTGGACGGTCATGGTGGGATGGAGATAGTGGTGATGGTGGTCCTGCTTCATGATGACAGTGATTGAGGAGGTTATCATCCTCTCTCTATCTCTCTCCTACGCAGGGGGTGTGCAGAGAGAACAAAGTCCCCGCCTAGGACGTGGGGGTAAATAATCCCACATGGGGAGACGGGGAGCCCTGGACCACCCCGTCCCGCAGTCGCGTCGCCTAAGATGTCCTCACGCTTCCTTCCCCCACCGCGCTGTCGCCGCAATGATGGCAATCTGTTTGGTCTGGACGGCCACGATCCTTTGCAAGCCTGACTCGGCTGCACATGGCCGTGCCTCGACCTCCGACTCCTCGACCGGCCGCCTCGCCCTTGCTGTTTTCGGGGTGCTCTGCTGGGGTACAGTCGGGGCGTTGCCCTAAGGAACCCTGAATAAGGAACGAGGCCCCTTCTTCCCAAGAGTTGAACTTCGATCTCCTATGGAAAACCTTAGGGGAACCTGAGGCACATGGCGCAACAATCGAGGAACACCGAGCCCCTCCCCAACGAAAAGGGGTTCCTTCTTCAGGGCCCCGACTGTGAGGCCCAGGCTGTCTTTTCTCTCCCTCGAGGCGGTGCACGGGCAGAGACGGGGGGGCGGAGGCCACCCGAGTGCCGTCCGCACCCTCGCTCGGGGCCTCTGGCGGCCCACCTCCGCTCGCACGCCGGCGCCGCCCGGCGTCCAGGGCCTTGCCCCCGCCAGTGCTCCGAGCTGCGCCCGGCCGCGCGCACGAGGGCGGGGCACCTCCCCCCGGAGGGAGGAGGAGGAGGAGGAGGAGGAGGAGGAGGAGGAGGAGGAGGAGGAGGAGGAGCCCGCGAGGGAGCGCCGGAGGTCAGAGCCCGCAGGCTCGGCCTGCCGTGGCCAGCCACGCTTTTTTTTGGCCGCGGCCACCAGCGAAGAGCGCAGACGGCGAACAGGGTGTCCGGGCCGACGGGCAAACCTACTTAGCTGCTGGGCGCAGCGCGAGCCGGTCGGGCCAGCTCACAAAAGCAGCAGCCGGGTGGCCAACCACACACGTAGGTCGGAAGAGGCCGGTGAGGAAGCGTGGAGCAGGGAGGCGGAGGGAGCAGATGGAATTCGGGCCTTCCCAGAGAATCACAAGGCGCAGCAAAGGCATACCTATGCGACCACCCTTCGGGTGATGCGGAGGTTCGGGGGGGAGGGGGAACCAACGTCTCGTTCCACCGATCTCACGTCGATCAAACTCTCTATCTCAAAACCGATCCCACTATCGATCTCACTATTGATCGCATAACAGATCTCCCGATCAATCTCGTAATCGATTTCACGCTCGATTTTACAATGTCACAACAGATCTCACTATCGCTCTCACCATCGACCTGGAAATTGATCTCACTATCGATCTCACATTCGGACTAACTGTCGATCGCACAACAATTCCAACTATCGGTCTCACAATCGATCTCACATTCGATCTCATCATCGGTCTCACTATCGGTCTCAGAATCGGCATCACAATCGATCTCACAATCGATACAGGTATCGATCTCACTGTCGATCCCACTCGAGATATCACGAGAAAACTGACCATCGATCCCACCGCAGATTTCACGATCGATAGCACAGCAGGTCTCACTATCGATCTCACATCAGATCCCACGATCGATATCACAATCGATCTGACTATTGATCTGTCGATCGATCTCACATTCCGAACTCACTATCGATCTCGCAAGCGATCTCACGATCGATCTCACAACAGATCTCACTATCTATATCCACATCGATCTCACCATAGATCTGACAATCGAGCTCACTGTCGATCCGACAATCGAACTCACTATCGATATCACAACAGGTCTCACTATCGGTCTCACTACCGATCTCACAATCGATCCCACCATCGATCTCACTGTCGGTCCCACAATCGATCTCAAAATCGATCTAAGTATCGACCACACTGTCGATCCCACGATAACGTTCGCGAGCGATCTCGCCATAGATCTCACAACAGATCTCACAATCGATCTCACAACAGATCTCACGACATATCTCCCGACAGACCTTACAATCAATTTCGCAACAGATCTCACAATCGATCTTCTATCGATCTCACTATCGATCTCACCGCCGCGCCACCGACGAGACACCCCCGCAACCGACGGGACACCGCCGCGCCACCGACGGGGACACCGCCCCGCCACCGACGGGACACCGGCGGGACACCGCCACGCCACCGTCGGGCACCCCAGCCACCGCGCGCACGGGAGGGGGGGGGGGCCGGACAACCGGCTCCAGCCCCTAGCCACGGCGGCATCATCCCTCCCGCGCGCCCACGCAGCTTCGCCTCTCGCCCGCACGCACGACACGAACACGACACCGAGACCGACTTCCCCGTGGGGGGCTCTCCGTTCCACTGCGATCCCACCCCCTCACCGCCTGTCGTTGCTTGACGTAGGACGGCGCCTGAAGTAGATTGGGATCTGGGAATCCAGGAATACATACTTTCAACGACCTTCGCGTACGCGAAGGCGGCAGAATGTTCGTGCCATTTTAAACGGGGAATGGCAGCCTGGGGGAGAAGGGGGCGACGCGGCAAGCCGGAGAAGAACGAGGAGGATACTTCCTGGGCCACTGCAGCAGCTCGCCCTCCGACCCGACGACGAACGGGGCTGGCCAGGCAGGATTCCCGCTGTGAGCGGAGGATAAGAGGGAGGAGGACAAAGCGCACTGCTCAGTGGCTCACGTGCGCCAAGCCGCCTGGCATTCACCGAGCCCCCGTGAAGGCAAACCGCCTCACTGGAGGCCCCCCCATGTGGAGTGACGTTGCTTCTATCCATGGGCACGGAGGTCTCGATCCCCTCCCTGGGGGGGCAGTGCTTCGTCCCAGCTCCGTTTGTTTAATTCTCCAGGGCCCGAGTAAAAGCCCCCCGATGCAGAAAACGATGGAAAACATCAGGATCATAAAAACCTGGTCCGCCCGAAGTCTGGCTCTCTGCCCCCCGCAGAAGAAATTTTACATTATTCCTGTTAACGGGCGCACTGGGGGGAAAGGTTGGACGACTGCGGGTAACGGTAACGCCTGGTTGGGGTGGAGCAAGGGCCGCAATACCCAGCGAGCAATGCAGTGCGTCTGCAAGCACCACTAATCAACCATCAAGTGTAACAATTGCCTGCGAGGACCACAACGCGCTTCTGAGCAGCACAGCATGCCTGCGCCCCGCCCCACACGTACGACCGTTTCCGTTACGTTGGGAGAAGGAGGGGTAACGGGCGTTACGTTCCAAAAAAGAAAAGAACAAACGCACATTCCGAGCACCTCCGACTCGTCCCGCGTGCCCGGCGGCAAGCCCAGCAACGTGCACGGGTCTGCGGACACCTGGGGGGGGGAGCAAGACCAGAACCAATGACACGCAGCCGCGGGGGGGGGGGGGGCAACACACCAGCGCGCCACTTCTGGAGAAGCACGCATGCCCTCGCACAAAAGAACGAGGCACCGACACGCCGACGGGCTCCTCACGGCGGCGCGCCACCGATGCAGCCCTCCCCGAGCCCATACAGTCGGGGCGTTGACCTAAGGAACCCTAAACAAGAAACGAGGCCCCTCTTCCCCCATAAGTTAAACTTCGATCTCATATCGAAGACCTAAAGAAAACCCAAGGCAAACTGTGAGGCAATCAAGGAACACGGAGCCCCTCCCCAACGAAAAAGGGTTCCTTCTTCAGGGGCCCGAGTGTACCTCCCTGCCGTCGGCCTCCCGGCCACAGCTCGGCTCTCGGGCGGCCGATCGGCACGAGCCGGGCCACCCCGAGAACGCTCTCGGTGAGGAAGCGGAGCCGTCCGAAGATCCGGAGCCTCGAAGTCGTTCGCCCCCCCCCCCCGCCTCCTTTCGGGGAGACGTAAGGCTCGGGTTCGGGGGACTCGGACTGGGCTGACAGGGCCGTCCCGGAAAGGACGAGACCCAGCCTGAAACTTGACGCGAGCTCACGCTTCAAACATCCAGGAGAACTGGACCGTCAAAATCCAGGACGCGCTCGTCCAGGAGAGTCGGCAAAGCCGAATTCCGCCGCACAGTCCACCGTATATATTGAGGACGCACGACAAGGATGCAAGGGCCCTGCATAGCCACGTCGACGCCTTGCGAGCGGGGCGCGGCCAGCGAAAGCGGCCAAGGATGGGCCGAAGGGGGGAGGATGCAAAGGGCCACTGGTAAGCTGCTCCTCCTCCCTGTGCGGGGGCACTGTCCTCGGGCCCTACGCCTCCCCTCTCCCGTCGTGCTGCCCCCGAAGACTCCCCCCGCGCACCGGCGCAGCGCGCCGCCGCGTCAGGGTGCGCCAGGGGCGACCGCCCCGAACCGGCCTCGAGCGTACCCCCATCCCTGCATTTTTGGCACGCCTTACGGCGATGCCAGCCTTAGGAATCGGGAGCGGCCAAGAGGGGGGTGTCCAAGAGGGGGGGTGCAACCCCCCCCCCTGCGCATCACCCCCCTCTTTGCCGCCCCCGAGGAATGTGCCCTCGAGAACCGGCGGCGCGCACCAGGAGGCTCAGGGCTCGGGGTTCCCGGGGACTGCGTGTGGAGCAACACTGGACGTCGCCTGTGGTGCGAGGCCTCTCCTCGAGGCTCCCCGACGGGGGCTCGAGGCTCGTGGCCTTCGTCCTCGAGGCGCCTGGAGGCCTTCCGAAGCCTGTCGAGGCTCTCGGGGCCTCCCGCGAGGCTCCCACCCTCGACGACGAACTGCCTCAGACGGGCCCCTGGAAGCGGCCCGGAGCTCGTTGGCGGCGCGCACGAGGGTGTAGCGGGAGGGGGGAAGGCTTCTCAGATGGAGGCTGCTGCTTAGAAGGCGCCAGCCCTGCATCTACAGACTAGGCCCGCGCCTTCTAAGAAGCAGGGGTGCTTCTGAGAAGCCTTCCCACCTCCCCCTACCCCCCTCTGCGCGTGGCTGGCCTCGAGAAACTGAAGGAATCCGTAGGGTCGGCATCGAGGTGAGGCGGTACCAATCATAGGGATACGGATATGTTTCATGACGAGCGAACCACACACACACGCACACGGTGCGTGTTGCGAGACGCGGGCCCCCCGCTCGAACGGGAATCTCCCTCGGGATCCGACGGCCCGCGCCCATACCCCTAGCCAGTCCTCATCCCCCCGACCCCCCGTATGGCTTCATGGCGGATCCTGGAGACCTTTGAGCACCAAAAATGCTGCCACCTCCTGCCAAGTCGCCTTTCGCCTCCGCCGGCTTCCGCCGGAGCCAGCCCTCCTCCCCCCGACCCCCCGTATGGCTTCATGGCGGATCCTGGAGACCTTGAACACCAAAAATGCTGCCACCTCCTGCCAAGTCACACCAAAAATGCTGCCACCTCCTGCCAAGTCGCCTTTCGCCTCCGCCGGCTTCCGCCAGAGCCAGCCCTCCTCCCCCCGACCCCCCGTATGGCTTCATGGCGGATCCTGGAGACCTTGAAGACCAAAATGCTGCCACCTCCTGCCAAGTCGACTTTCGCCTCCTTTTGACGCGACTCCCTTTGCCTCGGAAGTTTAGCGGGGGCACCAGCACAACCGTGAAAACGACGCGGCGCGTTTCCAATCCGCTACGAGGCCCTGAAACGGACAGCGGGCGCGGCGACTTTTGCCTCCGCCGGCTTCCGCTGGCCCTCCGCCAGCGGAGCCCCCCTCGCTTCATTCCCTGCCGCCGCCCGCCGACCTCCCTGCCGCCTTCCGCCGAGGAGGCGATGGCAAATCCTTCGAAGCGCTCGACGGCGAGGCCCCTAACGCCCCGTGCAGTCGGACCTGGGCCAGAACAACATCCCTCGAACAGCATGCGGCCCTCCGCCGGCCAGAGCGCACAGAACAGCCAGGGGCACCCTCCCAGGGGGCACCAAAAGACGTCCGACAGACACGAAGAGCACTGAGGTACCCTCCCCGAGCCGACCTCGATCTTGTACCTCAGTCCGACGGCCTCGTGCCCCGTGGCGTTCGGGCCCTCACTCGGCTCTCAGGCGGCCGCTCGGGACGGCTCTGGCACCCCCAAGAACGCCCTCGGCGAGGCGCAGCTGCTGGAGAGCGCCCCCGAGGCCGGAACGCCGCCGCGAGCCCAAACAAAAAGCGTGCGAGAACCTCGAGAACACCCCCCCCGAGCCGACCTCGACCTTCTGCCTCGGTCCGACTGCCTGGGTGCGGGCCCTGGGTGTGCGTTGGTTGGCTCGTCACTTCCGGCGGGTAGCCCCTGCCGCCACGCCAGGCCACCGCCCCGCGCGCCGCCGCGCCGCGCCAGGCCCGGCGCGAGGGCGGCGCGGCGCGGCGCGCCCCAACAATGGCAGAGGGCGGCCGCCGCCGCGGCGAGGAGGCCCACCAGGCACCCGTGCCGCATGCCGCGGGCCCCCCTCGCCGAGCCGCGCCCCGCCCCGCGCGCGCCAGGCACGGCCCTCGAAGCAAAGCATCACTCGCGTTTGATGGATACCAGCTGCCATAAAAGAGCACGTGCTGTTCCATGGCAACTGGTAGCCATAAAAGACGTGTGATGTTCCATCCAAGCACGTGCGATCCCCAGTGAGGCTTGCCTAAAGGGATTCTAACTTGCTTAACTGTTGGTGCCTCCTGTTGTTCCTCGAGTTCCCTGGCCCCGGAGCCTCCTATTGTTACGTTGCCCGTTGTCTGGGGGTTCCCCAGGCTCCGCGGGTTCACAGCCACCAGGTTCCCGCCCCCCCCACCCCCTCCACTGGCTTTACAAGCGATGCAGCGCCCAAAGGACGTGCATGTGAGTCCCGACGTACCGAAACTCCAGAATTCCTTCTAGGCCTCGCCACGCCCCCCCCGCCCCTTCAGGTGGCTCAACAGCGCGGCATCCGTAATCGTTTATTTGCCCGCACACCTGGGCCCCCCAGGCCCGCGAGGTCGCCTGCCACGATATTTCGTTCGCTCTATGGTCTCTTCTTCATTCTGGTGCACCATATCCTGCCTGTCATCGGGGCTGCAGGCTGTGTACTCCAGCGTTTCCTGTTCTGTTCAATCGGTATGTACTTCTTGGTGTGTACGTTACTGGGCTTGGGACAGTGCGAACATTTTCGAGGGTGTCGTTTCAGCGTTTGGCATTGTGCTGTGGCTTCAGAGGGGGTCGCCTTCGCATACAGTGATTTGTTGGTGGGTATTTTGTACTCTCTGGTGGTCGGAGAGCTAGGGGCTCGCCCTTTTTGCTCACCGCCAGGGGTTGAGAGACAGGTGCTTCAATACATGTCATTGTTTCGCGTTCAATGGTTGCATCTGGCGCTTTTGGTCAATATCGCAAACTGGGAATTGCTAGTGGGTACTTTGCTCTCCTTGGCGGTCGGCGAGCCAGGGGTGCGCCCTGGTGCTCAATGGCTCGCCGCCAAGGGTTGAAAGGCGGATTCCTATATAC